CAAGACTAACAACTTGCTCTTCGCTTAGACTGGATGCAATTTCTTGGCTAATTATAGTCCTATTCTTCGCAACTTCTCTTTTGATTACCCTGTCAGTTCTATCATCAATTTTTTTCTTTCGTCCCCTTGTTTCCTTCCTTGGAGCAGGAGTGGCATCATTATGTGCTCTAAGCACTCGAGAGACAGTTGATTGCGAGGTTATAGCAATTTCTGCAATTTCTCTCGTAGACTTACCTGCTTTTGAGAGGGCAATAATAAATGCCTTAAGTCGTTGTGATGCGTGTTTGTACCCTTTCATCTGGTTGGTGACTTGAGTGGCTATTTCAAGCTGTTTTTATACTGTATGAGGCTTTCTGGAATATTCTGGAATACTCTAGATTTAATTTAAGCTGTTCTAGAATTCTCTAGAATATTGTTCTGAGTGTATTTTAAAATAGTTTTCAATATTTTGTCAAAAGTTCTTTAAATTTACCAGTTTAATCATTAGAATGCGATATCTGAGTCACTTTTTTTGCACAGAGTTTTTTTTTCTTGAATCTCATTTATATCCAAAATTATAATTATCAATAGAATACCTTAGGCTGAATAAACTTTTTTACTAGGTGGTCGGGAAGGGGTCTTTATATTCGTAAGATTAAAAATTATTTTACCCCCCCAAAACAATAGACAAAAAATATTTTTAGTAAAAGAAAAATCTGGCGAGTCACTTTTATCGAACAACACTGTATATATATATATATATATATATATATATATATAATATATATATATATATATAAAGAACCAGAAAATACGAAAGTACTTACTTACTGAGGAGACGTATTTACCGATTAAGTCGATTTGGATCGATCCAACAAGCAAATTATTCATGTGTCCGTTAAAAACCGTCTGTTGTTTCATGGAGGGTCCAATTGATCTATGCTTGATGAGGATACTAATGAAGGGTCATCTAATTTTGTATTTCTGCCCTGTCCATCAATGGAAGTTCCTGCAGGCTAAAACAAAAACAAAACAAAAAACAAACTACCATGAATAGTGATGAGGACAAGACCGAATTACGAAGTGGACGTAAGTTTCATCACGTGAAACGGGTCAGACACACGTCACTTCATATGACAGCAATAATGACAAAACAAAATCTCTTTCTCGGCGCATGCGCGTGCACACACATACACACACACATATATATATATGTATATATATATATATAATGAAGTATAGTTTTAAGTTATGCTATATTTATGGAATAAATTGTTCAATATCAGAGATTGAGCGTATGTAAATATAAAGTGGACACAGAAGTCAAAATTTTATCTCACCCTCTTTCTCTCTCTCTCTCTCTCTATATATATATATATATATATAAGAGGATTCGAACTTGTCGGATCTTGTCCATTTCTTAACATATGACGTCATTTGTTTACATTCGATACGCCAGAGCAGTTATGAATGTACGAGATTCATGGAAGATTGAAGTTTATAAATAGTAAATTCGACCTTGCCTACCGTAAGGTTCTTTGTGGCCGAGCGGTCAAGGCACGTCAGCGTATATGACGGTTCCGTATAGGATGCAGGTTCGAATCCTGTCAAAGAACGAATATTTTCTATGAAAATTTCTCGGACATTCAGGCCGGTAAATGTTATTTAATACTGTTTATCATAAACAGAGCATTTGCTTAAATACTTGTATCTATAAATAACAACGTTAAACATAAAATGTCTTTAATAAATAAATATATATATATATACTACAGTTTAGAAGTCACCCCCAGAATTAGCATGGGAAGAACTTGACAGAAGAGTGAAATTTTTTCATCCTAAAAATGAAAAACGATTTCTTAGAGTCATTTAAAAAAAAATAGAATCAATTATCAAACTAATACTTTGAGAAACTTTTGCAAAGAATGACAAAGGTGTGTGTGCTGCAGTAATCAAGGCTAAAGGAGGATATTTTGACGAGAGTAAAATTTAATCATGAAAGGCTTTTTTTCTTATCGTCATAATAAAATTTCTAATGAAAAATCATTTCTCACTTTTTTTGACCATGTATAATAATTTTCTTTTTTTTTTAATTATAAAACTATAAAACTCCTATTTTTTGGCCCAATTTTTAAAAAAATACCATGGGTCGCCTCAAACTTTTGAACTGTAGTGTTGTTGCTGACCCGGTAGCATGCAGTGATGGTTTATTAAAAAGTGGCCTTGTGCCAGACACTACTTATGACTACTGAATCCACAAACAAAGTAAAAATATTGAGTGAGTGATCTTAGTGAGGAAAAGGGTTATTCGACAAGTGCATAAAAATAATACAAGTAAATAGCCAGGATTAAACAACAAAATGTGTCTGGTGGAAAACAGATCAGAAATTTTATTATTTTTAAACAAGTAAATTGTCTCGACAGTAGAGACTATCAGAAAAGGTAAGGTATGTTTTTAGCCTGTAGGCAGTTAGTATTAAGTAGTAATTAATAGAATTTTAAAGTTCCGCGCCAAAACAGAAAAAAACAAGATGGCTAAGGCGGGAAAAGTTTCTTCAGAATGAAAGTTCTGGAATGTAGTCTTCTTGTACAAAGGGTGTAAGCATACACAACAAGGAAAAATACTCACTGCGAGGTTTAATAATGTGTGTGTAATGCTATCTTTAAGGTACTGGTTCATAATGTTAAAATACAAAAGAGGTGTATGAAAAGTTCATCAATCTTCTTCAGTGAAGGAAAATTCAACGTTGTTCGCATCAAGACGAGGAAATTAGTCTTGGATAGGTGTGAGGGCGACCGTGTTGTAGAACTCTGGTAGTGAATAGAAGAAAGTTCGAAAGCTGTTCACATCAAGACGAGAAGTTGGTCTTGGAAAAATATATTGACGACGGTGTCGTAGAACTCTACATTTTCTAGCTGAAAACGGAGGAAAGATCAACATACTGTTTGCATCAAGACGAGGAAAAGTCTTGGAAAAGTGTGATATCGACATGTTGAAGTTTTGGTTATTTAAGATATTCCGGCCAGGAATATTAGGGGCACGGAATAAATGAGTCAACCATTTAGTTTGAAAATCGGGCGACGACTAACTTGAAAACGCTGTTCGTCTGTGACGTCAGGCAACGCGCGGGAAAAATTCAAAATCCGTCCCAGACGGTATCAGGAGTAGCCAACAACGTCGAAGTCGGCAGCAAAAAGGATGGCTTACTGCTATGTCTAGTCGAAAGTGGAAGAAAGGGGTGCAAAACGCGCGCACACACGCAAAAGGGTGGAATTCACGATTCCAGTGTATATAGTTGTGTATTTGGACAGTAATCTCTTTCTTACACACGTTTCATTAAAAATAAAAAATAATTGGCAATGATTCATCCTAATAACACAGGTATATTAGACGTGAATGCAACCAATACAGGTGATGTTTCATTATATTACCCCAGTCTACGAAAATATAAACTTTCCAGATTGTGATGCTTATCAGGAAATTCCTTCAAAAATACCATTTATTTTCATAACGTCTTTGATTTTGATGCCAGTACACACCGCTCGTTATTTAATATTAAAAATTTGGTTGATTTCATTTTTTACGATTTATTTTGAGTTATTTAATCCCAAAAGATTTTGGATTATAAGAACAATTCCTTTTTTCCTTGTGAATATTAACACTTTTTTTGAGAATAACAATGATCTTTCTAGATAGAAGTCATACTATTTAAACCAGTATCCGGCTATCCTCTTGCTCCACACCTAGGAGGTGCGCCGCACCGTTTGGAAAGCCCTGATTAGTTTATAAATCAGTGTTTCTCAACCTTTTATTTTATTTCACGGCGCACTTGTAGAATTAACTAACACTTTGTGGACGAACTTCCAATTTTAACAAGGGAAAATTAGTCCCGAAATTTGAAAATAATGAAATAATAAAGATTTTACCAGAAGATAGAATTTATTGACAGAAGATATGGCATTGTATATTTTTTTAGTGGTTTGCATTTAAAGGGATTTAGGAAGAATCTGTTATTGTTTTTTAGAGAGGCCGAGAATAACGGGTTTAAATCCGTTGGGGGAAGGCAAAAAGGGAAAGTTTATTTTTAACGAAAAGTTGCGGCAATATTTGAATTAAAGTAGATATATTATTTTCTCTTTTGTTAATCCCCACAATATAAGGCCCAAGAGTCACTCAAGGTAGAAACTTACCGAGTAAGATGGTTCTAAGGGGGGGTAGAGGTGGAAGTATTTTGAGGATAAGTAGGATAGATATCGATTGATCCTGGGCTTAAATTGACCAAGATTGTACGAGGGGCGGCTGGAAAGTTCAAAGGCTAACCAACATATAAATGTGAGTAGACACAGTTGGTAGACTAAATAACATGCAATTGTACCAGAATATGACATCTTGGTTAGCCTATGAACTTTTCAGTCGCCCCCTGTAGTTATCAGGAAAGCAACCTCTCGGGAGTTTTTTTTTCATCAATGTAACAATTCTGGGGAAGAAACTGTCTGAGCGGAACTTGCTTTTTATCCAAGGAACACGAATGGAATGGAGATGGTTTGCCACCGTGCATATGGCATGGCGGGTCTGATTTGGCGGGTTTAAGGAATGAGACAGTTGCCATCGCAATAGCGACATGGTAGTGAAGAGCTGGCAACGTTTCGCCTGTGAGAAAAAGGGTTCCAGGGTAGAGATTAATTCAACACCGACCACGCTGTGGCAAAAGCTTTTGAACTCAGTCGATGCTGGGCAGTGTTAATTGTCATCACTAGCACAGATAGATAGATAGATAGATAGATAGATAGATAGATAGATAGATAGATAGACATGAGCAGAATGATAGATAGATAGTTATGAACAGAATGATAGATAGACATGAGCAGAATGATAGATAGATAGTTATGAACAGAATGATAGATAGATAGATAGATAGATAGATAGATAGATAGATAGATAGACATGAGCAGAAAGATAGATAGTTATGAACAGAATGATAGATAGATAGACATGAGCAGAATGATAGATAGATAGATAGTTATGAACAGAATGATAGATAGATAGACATGAGCAGAATGATAGATAGATAGTTATGAACAGAATGATAGATAAATAGACATGAGCAGAATGATAGATAGATAGACATGAGCAGAATGATAGATAGATAGTTATGGACAGAATGATAGATAGATAGATAGATAGATAGACATGAGCAGAATGATAGATAGATAGTTATGAACAGAATGATAGATAGATAGACATGAGCAGAATGATAGATAGATAGATAGTTATGAACAGAATGATAGATAGATAGATAGATAGATAGATATGAGCAGAATGATAGATAGTTATGAACAGAATGATAGATAGATAGATAGATAGACATGAGCAGAATGATAGATAGATAGTTATGAACAGAATGATAGATAGATAGACATGAGCAGAATGATAGATAGATAGTTATGAACAGAATGATAGATAAATAGACATGAGCAGAATGATAGATAGATAGATAGTTAACAATAACAGAATGATAGATAGATAGATAAATGAGCAGAATGATAGATAGATAGTTATGAACAGAATGATAGATAGATAGATAGATAGACATTTATAGCAGAATGATAGATAGATAGTTATGAACAGAATGATAGATAGATAGACATGAGCAGAATGGTAGATAGATATGTCCTTAATGGTGAACAGAATGATAGATAGATAGACATGAGCAGAATGATAGATAGATAGTTATGAACAGAATGATAGATAAATAGACATGAGCAGAATGATAGATAGATAGATAGTTATGAACAGAATGATAGATAGATAGATATGAGCAGAATGATAGATAGATAGTTATGAACAGAATGATAGATAGATAGATAGACATGAGCAGAATGATAGATAGATAGTTATGAACAGAATGATAGATAGATAGACATGAGCAGAATGATAGATAGATAGTTATGAACAGAATGATAGATAGATAGACATGAGCAGAATGATAGATAGATAGTTATGAACAGAATGATAGATAGATAGATAGATATGAGCAGAATGATAGATAGATAGTTATGAACAGAGTGATAGATAGATAGATAGATATGAGCAGAATGATAGATAGTTATGAACAGAATGATAGATAAATAGATAGATAGACATGAGCAGAATGATAGATAGATAGTTATGAACAGAATGATAGATAAATAGACATGAGCAGAATGATAGATAGATAGTTATGAACAGAATGATAGATAGATAGATAGATAGATAGATAGATACTTAGATAGATAGATAGATAGATAGACATGAGCAGAAAGATAGATAGTTATGAACAGAATGATAGATAGATAGATAGATAGACATGAGCAGAATGATAGATAGATAGTTATGAACAGAATGATAGATAGATAGACATGAGCAGAATGAGAGATAGATAGACATGAGCAGAATGATAGATAGATAGTTATGAACAGAATGATAGATAGATAGATAGACATGAGCAGAATGATAGATAGATAGTTATGAACAGAATGATAGATAGATAGATAGATAGACATGAGCAGAATGATAGATAGATAGTTATGAACAGAATGATAGATAGATAGATAGATAGACATGAGCAGAATGATAGATAGATAGTTATGAACAGAATGATAGATAGATAGACATGAGCAGAATGATAGATAGATAGTTATGAACAGAATGATAGATAGATAGATAGACATGAGCAGAATGATAGATAGATAGTTATGAACAGAATGATAGATAGATAGACATGAGCAGAATGAGAGATAGATAGACATGAGCAGAATGATAGATAGATAGACATGAGCAGAATGATAGATAGTTATGAACAGAATGATAGATAGATAGACATGAGCAGAATGAGAGATAGATAGACATGAGCAGAATGATAGATAGATAGACATGAGCAGAATGATAGATAGATAGTTATGAACAGAATGATAGATAGATAGACATGAGCAGAATGAGAGATAGATAGTTATGAACAGAATGATAGATAGATAGACATGAGCAGAATGAGAGATAGATAGACATGAGCAGAATGATAGATAGATAGACATGAGCAGAATGATAGATAGTTATGAACAGAATGATAGATAGATAGACATGAGCAGAATGAGAGATAGATAGACATGAGCAGAATGAGAGATAGATAGACATGAGCAGAATGATAGATAGATAGACATGAGCAGAATGATAGATAGTTATGAACAGAATGATAGATAGATAGACATGAGCAGAATGATAGATAGATAGACATGAGCAGAATGATAGATAGATAGACATGAGCAGAATGAGAGATAGATAGTTATGAACAGAATGATAGATAGATAGACATGAGCAGAATGAGAGATAGATAGACATGAGCAGAATGATAGATAGATAGACATGAGCAGAATGATAGATAGTTATGAACAGAATGATAGATAGATAGACATGAGCAGAATGAGAGATAGATAGACATGAGCAGAATGAGAGATAGATAGTTATGAACAGAATGATAGATAGATAGACATGAGCAGAATGAGAGATAGATAGACATGAGCAGAATGATAGATAGATAGACATGAGCAGAATGATAGATAGATAGTTATGAACAGAATGATAGATAGATAGACATGAGCAGAATGAGAGATAGATGATAGATAGAGTGAGAATGATAGATAGATAGTTATGAACAGAATGATAGATAGATAGACATGAGCAGAATGATAGATAGATAGTTATGAACAGAATGATAGATAGATAGACATGAGCAGAATGAGAGATAGATAGTTATGAACAGAATGATAGATAGATAGACATGAGCAGAATGAGAGATAGATGTACATGAGGATCTTCAGAATGATAGATACATAGTTATGAACAGAATGATAGATAGATAGACATGAGCAGAAAAATAGATAGATAGTTATGAACAGAATGATAGATAGATAGATAGATAGACATGAGCAGAATGATAGATAGATAGTTATAGAAGATAGAATGATAGATAGATAGATAGATATGGGAGCAGAATGAGATAGATAGTTATGAACAGAATGATAGATAGATAGACATGAGCAGAAATGATAGATAGATAGTTATGAAACAGAATGATAGATAGATAGATAGATAGACATGAGCAGAATGATAGATAGATAGTTATGAACAGAATGATAGATAGATAGACATGAGCAGAATGAGAGATAGATAGACATGAGCAGAATGATAGATAGATAGTTATGAACAGAATGATAGATAGATAGACATGAGCAGAATGAGAGATAGATAGACATGAGCAGAATGATAGATAGATAGACATGAGCAGAATGATAGATAGTTATGAACAGAATGATAGATAGATAGACATGAGCAGAATGATAGATAGATAGTTATGAACAGAATGATAGATAGATAGACATGAGCAGAATGATAGATAGTTATGAACAGAATGATAGATAGATAGACATGAGCAGAATGAGAGATAGATAGACATGAGCAGAATGATAGATAGATATGAACAGAATGATAGATAGATAGACATGAGCAGAATGAGAGATAGATAGACATAGCAGAATGAGAGATAGATAGATATGAACAGAATGATAGATAGATAGATATGAGCAGAAGACATGAGAGATAGATAGACATGAGCAGAAATGATAGATAGATAGACATGATGAAGCAGAATGATAGATAGTTATGAAATGAGAATGATAGATAGATAGACATGAGCAGAATGATAGATAGATAGTTATGAACAGAATGATAGATAGATAGACATGAGCAGAATGATAGATAGTTATGAACAGAATGATAGATAGATAGTTATGAACAGAATGATAGATAAATAGACATGAGCAGAATGATAGATAGATAGACATGAGCAGAATGATAGATAGATAGTTATGGACAGAATGATAGATAGATAGATAGACATGAGCAGAATGATAGATAGATAGTTATGAACAGAATGATAGATAGATAGACATGAGCAGAATGATAGATAGATAGATAGTTATGAACAGAATGATAGATAGATAGATAGATAGATATGAGCAGAATGATAGATAGTTATGAACAGAATGATAGATAGATAGATAGATAGACATGAGCAGAATGATAGATAGATAGTTATGAACAGAATGATAGATAGATAGACATGAGCAGAATGATAGATAGATAGTTATGAACAGAATGATAGATAAATAGACATGAGCAGAATGATAGATAGATAGATAGTTATGAACAGAGAATGATAGATAGAGATAGATATGAGCAGAATGATAGATAGATGAGTTATGAACAGAATGATAGATAGATAGATAGATAGATAGATGAGCAGAATGATAGATAGATGGTTATGAACAGAATGATAGATAGATAGATATGAGCAGAATGATAGATAGATAGTTATGAACAGAATGATAGATAGATAGATAGACATGAGCAGAATGATAGATAGATAGACATGAGCAGAATGATAGATAGTTATGAACAGAATGATAGATAGATAGATAGATATGAGCAGAATGATAGATAGATAGTTATGAACAGAGTGATAGATAGATAGATAGATATGAGCAGAATGATAGATAGTTATGAACAGAATGATAGATAAATAGATAGATAGACATGAGCAGAATGATAGATAGATAGTTATGAACAGAATGATAGATAAATAGACATGAGCAGAATGATAGATAGATAGTATGAACAGAAATGATGCGGGTAGAATGATAGATAGATAGATAGATAGATAGATAGATAGATAGATGACAGATGGATAGATAGATAGATAGATAGATAGATAGATAGACATGAGCAGAAAGATAGATAGATATGAATTAATGAACATAGAATGATATAGAATGATGATAGATAGATAGAGAGATGAGATAGATAGATAGATAGATATGAACAGAATGATAGATAGATAGATAGACATGATAGATAGATGAAATGATAGATAGACATTATGAACAGAATGATAGATAGATAGAATGATGAGAAATGATAGATAGATAGTTATGAACAGAATGATAGATAGATAGACATGAGCAGAATGATAGATAGATAGTTATGAACAGAATGATAGATAGATAGATAGATAGACAGATGAGCAGAAGAATGATAGATAGATAGTTATGAACAGAATGATAGATAGATAGATAGATAGATAGACATGAGCAGAATGATAGATAGATAGTTATGAACAGAATGATAGATAGATAGATAGATAGATAGTTAGAAACAGAATGATAGATAGATAAAACATGATAGATAGATAGATAGATGAACAGCAGAATGATAGATAGATAGATAGACATGAGCAGAATGATAGATAGATAGTTATGAACAGAAATGATAGATAGATAGATGATAGATAGATAGTTGTGTAGATAACATGAGCAAGAATGATAGATGAACATGAACAGAATGATATAGATAGATGAGAAGATAGATAGATGATATGATATAGATAGAAATGATAGATAGATAGACATGAGCAGAATGATAGATGATAGTTATGAACAGAATGATAGATAGATGGAGACATGAGCAGAATGAGATAGATAGATATGACAGAATGATAGATAGATGATATGATAATGATAGATAGATGGACATGAACAGAATGATAGATAGATAGATATGAAAGAATGATAGATAGATAGTTATGAACAGAAGAATGATAGATAGATAGACATGAGCAGAATGAGAGATAGATATAGACATGAGCAGAATGATAGATAGATAGACATGAGCAGAATGATAGATAGATATTATGAACAGAATGATAGATAGATAGATATGAGCAGATGGATAATGATAGATAGATAGATGAGCAGAACAGATAGATAGATAGATAGACATGAGCAGAATGATAGATAGATAGTTATGAACAGAATGATAGATAGATAGATATGAGCAGAATGAATGATAGATAGATAGACATGAGCAGAATGATAGATAGATAGATAGATAGATGAGCAGAATGATGATGAACAGAATGATAGATAGATAGATAGACATGAGCAGAATGATAGATAGATAGACATGAACAGAATGATAGATAGATAGACAGAATGATAGATAGATAGTTATGAAACAGAATGATAGATAGATAGACATGAGCAGAATGAGAGATAGATAGATAGACATGAACAGAATGATAGATAGATAGACATGAGCAGAATGAGATAGATAGATAGTTAGAGAGATAGACATGAAATGAGAATAGATAGATAGAAATGATAGACATGATAGCAGATAGATAGATAGATAGACATGAGCAGAAATGATAGATAGATAGTTATGAAACAGAATGATAGATAGATAGACATGAGCAGAATGATAGATAGATAGAATGAAACAGAATGATAGATAGATAGACATGAGCAGAATGATAGATAGATAGTTATGAACAGAATGATAGATAGATAGACATGAGCAGAATGAGAGATAGATAGATAGAACAGAATGATAGAATAGATAGATAGATAGATATGAGCAGAAGATAGATAGATAGACATGAGTAGAAATGATAGATATAGATAGTTATAGATAGAAACAGAATGATAGATAGATAGATAGACATGAGAGAATGAGATAGAAAAATGAGCAGAAATGATAGATAGTTATGAACAGAATGATAGATATGATAGATAGATAGATAGATAGATAGAATAGATAGATAGATAGACATGAACAGAATGATAGATAGATAGAGATGAACAGAATGATAGATAGATAGACATAGATAGAATGATAGATAGATAGTTAGAATGAAGCAGAATGATAGATAGATGAATGATAGAATGATAGACAGATAGATAGAAATGAGATAGAATAGTTATGAACAGATGATAGATAGATAGAACATGAACAGAATGATAGATAGATAGATAGATAGAATGATAGATAGATAGAATGAACAGATGATGATAGATAGATAGACATGACAGAATGATAGATAGATAGATAGATATGATAGATATGATAGAATGATAGATAGATAGATAATGAACAGAATGATAGATAGATAGACATGAAGAATGATAGATAGATAGATAGATAGACATTATGAACAGAATGATAGATAGATAGATAGATAGATAGAATAATGATAGATAGATAGTTATGAACAGAATGAGATAGACATGAGCAGATATACATGAACAGAATGATAGATAGATAGACATGAGCAGAATGAGATGAATAGATAGATAGATAGATACAGAAGAAATGATGAATTAGATAGATAGACATGAGCAGAAATGATGATAGATAGATATGATAGATATAGAAACAGACAAACAGAATGATAGATAGATAGAAATGAGCAGAATGATAGATAGATAGTTATGAAACAGAATGATAGATAAATAGACATGAGCAGAATGATAGATAGATAGACATGAGCAGAAACAGATAGATAGTTATATGATAGATAGATGAGCAGAAATGAAGATAGTTATGAATGTGAATGATAGATAGATAGACATGATTTAGATAGAATGAGAGATAGATTATGAACATACAGAGAATGATAGATAGATAGACATGAGCAGAATGATAGATAGATAGTTATGAACAGAATGATAGATAGATAGACATGAACAGAAATAGAATGAGATAGATAGATACAAAACAGAATGATAGATAGATAGACATGAGCAGAATGATAGATAGATAGTTATGAAACAGAAATGATAGATAGATAGATGAACATGATAGGTAAGAAACAGAATAATAGATGAAAGATAGAATGATAGATAGATAGATATGAACAGAATGATAGATAGATAGACATGAAGAATGATAGATAGATAGACATGAGAATGAGAATGATAGATGAAAGATAGAGACATGATAGAATGAATAGATAGATAGACATGAGATAGAATGATAGATAGATAGACATGAGCAGAATGATAGATAGATAGACATGAACAGAATGATAGATAGATAGATAGACATGAGCAGAATGATAGATGATAGAATGATATTTAGATAGAGAAATGATAGATAGATTTAATAAATGATAGATAGATATAGAGAATGAAGATAGATAGATAGATAGATAGATAGATAGAAATAGATAGATAGATAGATAGAATGATAGATAGATAGAAATGAACAGAATGATAGATAGATAGATAGATAGATACAGAATGATAGATATGGTTAAGGAACAGAATGATAGATAGATAATGATAGATAGATAGACATGAGCAGAATGATAGATAGATAGATATGAACAGAATGATAGATAGATAGATAGATGAGCAGAAATGATGATAGATAGTTAGAACAGAATGATAGATAGATAGATAGATAGATGAATGATAGATAGATAGATAGAATGATAGAGAATGATAGATAGATAGATATATAGAACAGAATGATAGATAGATAGATAGATATGAACAGAATGATAGATAGATAGATAGATAGATAGATAGACATGAGCAGAATGATAGATAGATAGTTATGAACAGAATGATAGATAGATAGATAGAGAATGAGCAGAATGATAGATAGATATAGATAGATGAACAGCAGAATGATAGATAGATAGATAGATAGAGCAGAATGATAGATAGATAGATGAAATGATGATAACAGAATGATGATAGATAGAGATAGATAGATAATAGAATATATAGATGAGATAGAGCAGAATGATAGATAGATAGTTATGAGATAGAGATAGATAGATAGACATGAGCAGAATGATAGATAGATAGATATGAACAGAATGATAGATAAAGATAGATAGATAGACATGATAGAAATGATAGATAGATAGCATGAAAGAGAGGTAATAGAGAATGATAGATATATAGACATGAGCAGAATGATAGATAGATAGAGAGAATGATAGATAGAATGAATGATAGATAGATAGACATGAGCAGAATGATAGATAGATAGTTATGAACAGAATGATAGATAGATAGACAGATAGCAGAAATAGATAGATAGATAGTTATGAACAGAATAGATAGATAGATAGATAGATAGACATGAGCAGAAATAGATAGATAGATAGTTAGATAGAACAGAATGATAGATAGATAGATAGACATGAGCAGAATGATAGATAGATAGTTATGAAATAGAATGAAGATAGAATGATAGATAAATAGATAGATAGATTATGAGCAGAAATGATAGATAGATAGATGATAATGATAGATAATAGACATGAGCAGAAATGATAGATAGATAGATACATGAGAATGATAGATAGATAGTTATGAAAGAATGAATGATAGATAGATAGATAGATAGATAGATAGATAGATAGATAGATAGATAGATAATGATAGATAGATAGATGAAGACATGAGCATGAAAGATAGATAGATAGAACAGAAATAGATAGATAGATATGATAGACAGAATGAGAGATAGATAGACATGAGCAGATGATAGATAGATAGTTATGAACAGAATAGATAGATAGACATGAGCAGAAATGATAGATAGATAGTTGACAGGAAGAATGATAGATAGATAGATAGACATGAGCAGAATGATAGATAGATAGTTAAGAACAGAATGATATAGATGGATGAGCAGAATGATAGATAGATAGACATGAGCAGAATGATAGATAGATAGATAGAATGATAGATAGATAGACAGAATGATAGATAGATAGATATGATAGAATGATGATAGATATGATGAATGAGAATAGATAGATAGATAGACATGAGCAGAATGATGATAGATAGATATGAACAGAATGATATGATAGATAGATAGATATGACATGAGCAGAATGATAGATAGATAGTTATGAAACAGAAATAGATAGATAGATAGATAGATAGATGAGCAGAAAATAGATAGATGGATATGACAGAATGATAGATACAGAATGATAGATAGATAGATAGACATGAATGATAGAATGATAGATAGATAGTTAGAACAGAATGATAGATAGATAGATAGATATGATAGAATGATAGATAGATAGACATGAACAGAATGATAGATATGATATGATAGATAGATGGACAGAGCAGAATGATAGATAGATAGATAGAATGATAGATAGATAGACATGATATGAGAATGATAGATATAGATAGACATGAACAGAATGATAGATAGATAGATAGATAGACATGAGCAGAATGATAGATAGATAGTTATGAACAGAATGATAGATAGATAGACATGAGCAGAATGATAGATAGATAGTTATGAACAGAATGATAGATAGATAGACATGAGCAGAATGATAGATAGATAGATTATGAACAGAATGATAGATATAGATAGATAGATAGAGCAGAATGATAGATAGATAGTTATGAACAGAATGATAGATAGATAGACATGAGCAGAATGATAGATAGATAGACATAGAATGATAGATAGATGAATGATAGATAGATAGATAGTTATGAACAGAATGATAGATAGATAGATAGACATGAGCAGAATGATAGATAGATAGTTATGAACAGAATGATAGATAGATAGACATGAGCAGAATGATAGATAGATAGACATGAACAGAATGATAGATAGATAGACATGAGCAGAATGATAGATAGATAGTTATGAGATAGAATGATAGATAGATAGATAGATATGAACAGAATGATAGATAGAATGATATGATAGATAGAATGAGATAGAATGATAGATAGATAGATAGACATGAGCAGAATGATAGATAGATAGATAGGAATGAGAGATAGATATGATGATAAATAGATAGATAGACATGAGCAGAATGATAGATAGATAGACATGAGCAGAATGATAGATAGATAGACATGAGCAGAATGATAGATAGATAGACATGAGCAGAATGATAGATAGATAGACATGAGCAGAATGATAGATAGATAGACATGAGAATAGAATGATAGAAATGATAGATAGTTATGAACAGAGATAGATAGATAGATAGACATGAGCAGAATGAGAGATAGATAGACATGAACAGAATGATAGATAGATAGACATGAGCAGAATGATAGATAGATAGATAGATGAACAGAATGATAGATAGATAGACATGAGCAGAATGAGAGATAGATAGACATGAGCAGAATGATAGATAGATAGTTATGAACAGAATGATAGATAGATAGACATGAGCAGAATGATAGATAGATAGTTAAACAGAATGATAGATAGATATAGATAGATAGACATGATAGAATGAGAGATAGATAGAATGAACAGAATGATAGATATAGATAGACATGAGCAGAATGATAGATGAGCAGAATGATGATAGAGATAGATAGACATGAGCAGAATGATAGATAGATAGACATGAACAGAATGAAATAGATAGATAGATAGATAGACATGAGCAGAATGATAGATAGATAGATATGAACAGAATGATAGATAGATAGATAGATAGACATGAGCAGAATGATAGATAGATAGATAACAGAATGATAGATAGATAGACATGAGCAGAATGAGAGATAGATAGACATGAGCAGAATGATAGATAGATAGACATGAACAGAATGATAGATAGATAGACATGAGCAGAATGGGATAGATAGATAGACATGAGCAGAATGATAGATAGATAGAATGAATGAACAGAATGATAGATATAGATAGACATGAACAGAATGATAGATAGATAGATATGACAGAATGATAGATAGATAGATGGTTATGAACAGAATGATAGATAGATACATGAGAAAAATGGAGAATGATAGATAGAATATAGATAGATAGATAGATGAAATGAGAGATAGATAGTTATGAAAAGAAATGATAGATAGATAGACATTAGCAAGACAGAATGAGATAGATAGACATGAGCAGAATGATAGATAGATAGTTATGAACAGAATGATAGATAGATAGATAGACAATGATAGATAGATAGACATGAATAGAAATGATAGATATATAGACATGAGCAGAAAGATAGATATAGATATGAACAGAATGATAGATAGATAGACATGAGCAGAATGATAGATAGATAGTTATGAACAGAATGATAGATATAGATAGACATGAGCAGAATGATGATAGATAGTTATGAACAGAATGATAGATAGATAGACATGAGCAGAATGAGAGATAGATAGACATGAGCAGAATGATAGATAGATAGTTATGAACAGAATGATAGATAGATAGACATGAGCAGAATGAGAGATAGATAGAGATAGATAGACATGAGCAGAATGATAGATAGATAGACATGAGCAGATGATAGATAGTTATGAACAGAATGATAGATAGATAGACATGAGCAGAATGAGAGATAGATAGTTATGAAACAGAATGATAGATAGATAGACATGAGCAGAATGATAGATAGATAGTTATGAACAGAATGATAGATAGATAGACATGAGCAGAATGAGAGAGATAGATAGACATGAAACAGAATGATAGATAGATAGACATGAGCAGAATGAATGATAGATAGTTATAGAACAGAATGATAGATAGATAGACATGAGCAGAAATAGACATGAGAGATAGATAGACATGAGATAGATAGATAGAATGATAGATAGATAGTTATGAACAGAATGATAGATAGATAGACATGAGCAGAATGAGAGATAGATAGACATGAGCAGAATGATAGATAGATAGACATGAGCAGAATGATAGATAGTTATGAACAGAATGATAGATAGATAGACATGAGCAGAATGATAGATAGATAGTTATGAACAGAATGATAGATAGATAGACATGAGCAGAATGATAGATAGTTATGAACAGAATGATAGATAGATAGACAATGAGCAGAATGAGAGATAGATAAACATGAGCAGAATGATAGATAGATAGTTATGAACAGAATGAGATAGATAGATAGATAGACATGATAGAATGAGAGATAGATAGACATGAGCAGAATGATAGATAGATAGACATGAGTAGAATGATAGATAGATAGTTATGAACAGAAATGATAGATAGATAGACATGAGCAGAATGAGAGATAGATAGTTATGAACAGAATGATAGATAGATAGACATGATAGAATGATAGATAGATAGATGAACAGAATGATAGATAGATAGACATGAGCAGAATGATAGATAGATAGATAGATGAAGACATGAGAATGATAGATAGATAGACATGATAGATAGAATGATAGATAGATAGATAGATAGAAACAGAATGATAGATAGATAGACATGAGCAGAATGATAGATAGATAGTTATGAACAGAATGATAGATAGATAGACATGAGCAGAATGATAGATAGATAGACATGAGCAGAATGAGAGATAGATAGACAGAATGAGATAGAATGATAGATAGATAGACATGAGCAGAATGATAGATAGATAGATAGATAGACATGAACAGAATGATAGATAGATAGATAGATAGATAGACATGAGCAGAATGATAGATAGATAGTTATGAACAGAATGATAGATAGATAGACATGAGCAGAATGATAGATAGACATGAACAGAATGATAGATAGATAGACATGAGCAGAATGAGAGATAGATAGACATGAGCAGAATGATAGATAGATAGATATGAACAGAATGATGATAGATAGATAGATAGATGAGCAGAATGAGAGATAGATAGACATGAGCAGAATGATAGATAGATAGACATGAGCAGAATGATAGATAGATAGTTATGGACAGAATGATAGATAGATAGATAGACATGAGATAGAATGATAGATAGATAGTTATGAACAGAATGATAGATAGAGATAGATAGACATGAGCAGAATGATAGATAGATAGATAGAATGAACAGAATGATAGATAGATAGATAGATAGATAGATAGATAGATATGAGCAGAATGATAGATAGTTATGAACAGAATGATAGATAGATAGATAGATAGATAGAATGATAGATAGATTGTTATGAACAGAATGATAGATAGATAGACATGAGCAGAATGATAGATAGATAGTTATGAAATAGAATGATAGATAAATAGACATGAGCAGAATGATAGATAGATAGATAGTTATGAACAGAATGATAGATAGATAGATATGAGCAGAATGATAGATAGATAGATAGAATGACAGATAACAGAATGATAGATAGATAGATAGATAGATATGAGCAGAATGATAGATAGATAGTTATGAACAGAATGATAGATAGATAGATATGAGCAGAATGATAGATAGATAGTTATGAACAGAAATGATAGATAGATAGACATGAGATAGATGATAGATAGATAGTTATGAACAGAATGATAGATAAATAGACATGAGCAGAATGATAGATAGATAGATAGTTATGAACAGAATGATAGATAGATAGATATGAGCAGAATGATAGATAGATAGTTATGAACAGAATGATAGATAGATAGATAGATAGACATGAGCAGAATGATAGATAGATAGTTATGAACAGAATGATAGATAGATAGACATGAGCAGAATGATAGATAGATAGTTATGAACAGAATGATAGATAGATAGACATGAGCAGAATGATAGATAGATAGTTATGAACAGAATGATAGATAGATAGATAGATATGAGCAGAATGATAGATAGATAGTTATGAACAGAGTGATAGATAGATAGATAGATATGAGCAGAATGATAGATAGTTATGAACAGAATGATAGATAAATAGATAGATAGACATGAGCAGAATGATAGATAGATAGTTATGAACAGAATGATAGATAAATAGACATGAGCAGAATGATAGATAGATAGTTATGAACAGAATGATAGATAGATAGATAGATAGTTAGATACTTAGATAGATAGTTAGATATATAGACATGAGCAGAAAGATAGATAGTTATGAACAGAATGATAGATAGATAGATAGATAGACATGAGCAGAATGATAGATAGATAGTTATGAACAGAATGATAGATAGATAGACATGAGCAGAATGAGAGATAGATAGATATGAGCAGAGAATGATAGATAGATAGATTATGAACAGAATGATAGATAGATAGATAGATAGACATGAGCAGAATGATAGATAGATAGTTATGAACAGAATGATAGATAGATAGATAGATAGATAGACATGAGCAGAATGATAGATAGATAGTTATGAACAGGATGATAGATAGATAGATAGATAGACATGAGCAGAATGATAGATAGATAGTTATGAACAGAATGATAGATAGATAGATAGATAGACATGAGCAGAATGATAGATAGATAGTTATGAACAGAATGATAGATAGATAGATAGACATGAGCAGAATGATAGATAGTTATGAACAGAATGATAGATAGATAGACATGAGCAGAATGAGAGATAGATAGATATGAGCAGAATGATGATAGATAGATAGACAGAATGATAGATAGAATGAAGATGATAGATAGATAGACATGAAGAATGAGAGATAGATAGACATGAGCAGAATGATAGATAGATAGACATGAGCAGAATGATAGATAGATAGACATGATAGAATGATAGATAGATGAGAGATAGATAGTTATGAACAGAATGATAGATAGATAGACATGAGCAGAATGAGAGATAGATAGATATGAACAGAATGATAGATAGATAGACAGTTAGAACAGAATGAGAGATAGATAGACATGAGCAGAATGATAGATAGATAGACATGAGCAGAATGAGAGATAGATAGACATGAACAGAATGATAGATAGATAGACATGATAAGAAATGAGAGATAGATAGACATGAGCAGAATGAGAGATAGATAGACATGAGCAGAATAGAATAGATAGATAGACATGAGCAGAATGAGAGATAGATAGACATGAGCAGAATGATAGATAGATAGACATGAAATAGAATGATAGATAGATAGTTATGAACAGAATGATAGATAGATAGACATGAGCAGAATGAGAGATAGATAGACATGAGCAGAATGAGAGATAGATAGTTATGAACAGAATGATAGATAGATAGACATGAGCAGAATGAGAGATAGATAGACATGAGCAGAATGATAGATAGATAGTTATGAACAGAATGATAGATAGATAGACATGAGCAGAATGATAGATAGATAGTTATGAACAGAATGATAGATAGATAGACATGAGCAGAATGAGAGATAGATAGTTATGAACAGAATGATAGATAGATAGACATGAGCAGAATGAGAGATAGATAGACATGAGCAGAATGATAGATACATAGTTATGAACAGAATGATAGATAGATAGACATGAGCAGAAAAATAGATAGATAGTTATGAACAGAATGATAGATAGATAGATAGATAGACATGAGCAGAATGATAGATAGATAGTTATGAACAGAATGATAGATAGATAGACATGAGCAGAATGAGAGATAGATAGACATGAGCAGAATGATAGATAGATAGTTATGAACAGAATGATAGATAGATAGACATGAGCAGAATGAGAGATAGATAGACATGAGCAGAATGATAGATAGATAGTTATGAACAGAATGATAGATAGATAGACATGAGCAGAATGAGAGATAGATAGTTATGAACAGAATGATAGATAGATAGACATGAGCAGAATGATAGATAGATAGTTATGAACAGAATGATAGATAGATAGATAGATAGACATGAGCAGAATGATAGATAGATAGTTATGAACAGAATGATAGATAGATAGACATGAGCAGAATGAGAGATAGATAGACATGAGCAGAATGATAGATAGATAGTTATGAACAGAATGATAGATAGATAGACATGAGCAGAAT